CGTTTAGGCGTGGGGGAGGCACGATTTTTTAATGTCACGGAATAAGCTTGATCTGCTTATGTCATCGATGACAACGTAATTACATTCATTCACCAATTTGATTTAATCTCCGCCAAGAGGATCTTATTTGAATTGAAGGGTTTATATTTTTAGAAGTGATTAATTTTTGGGAAAGAAAGTTTTTGGCTTTCTACTACTCCATCTTGATACAAATACAATTTGTTACCATTCATTTAAAGTAGAACTCATGTGAATGATATCTCATTTTCAATACACAACGAATGTTTGAAATACAAACTTAGTAGAGAAAAGTATCTTCTGTATAATTCAGTATTCACATATGTGAATGTATAATGTAATTATACATTCAACCCACTGTGTAGGTATATCTGAGACTAGCTTGAACATTCAAAGTTCATTTCTTTAGATTTGTTTACTGCTTGTCTTCAAGCATAACCCACTGACTAATAAGAAAATGCTGTTTCAGGTCACTGCAACATATTCAACACAGTCTTAATAGCAAATTGGTATAGAAGAAACTATGAATTTTATAATCTCTTTCACGGATTTTTATCAAAATTCAAAAATTATCACCGACCTAACATTATTACAGTGTTGCCAACTGAATGAACTATAAAGTCGCTACACATGAACCAAAATTCCGCTACGCTTGTATATCTGACGAAATCAGTTCGCGCATGCGCCTTATCCGAAATTAAATACTACAGAACTTACAGTTTCTGTACCGTTTAGATACCACAAAACTGAACTGTCACTAATGTCAGGAATCAAAATCATGCTAATTTTCAACCACGCAACTTAGTAGATGGTACCTAATTTACAGCAGTTAAGTTTTGAAAGCTGTCGTTTCGACTGAATATTTCTTAACTTGAAATAATGATTTCGCTCGAGCTACAATCAGTTGAACTATCTTCCATTTCCACTGAAATTTGTTCCACATAATTCATAATACTCGAGACAGTCGAGACTTTTAGTTTCAAGATATTGGAGAGTATATAGTTTATGATAGAAATTATTCATCTTCTCTTTCATCATGTAATGGCCTCAGCTACTAAGACTATAAAGTATTGACTGTGCATTCAATCATTCAATTGTCAGCTGTTAGCTTCGAGTGATGATACTGCATCTTCTCCTTCTTCCATATTTTTAAAAAATATTGATTATTTGTAGAAAATTCCGCTACTTTATGTTCAAATCCGCTACGCCGCTACCGTCGAGTAAAATCCGCTACGGTAGCGGAATTCCTCTACGGTTGGCAACTCTGCGTTATTATGATAAGATATATCAATAGAACATACATTATTCCTTACCTATTTCATGTCCATCTGTTAATGAATGGCCGTTAGTATCAAGAACGCAGACAGCTGCCAGAAACACAAATAAGAAAAACAGTGAGATTTTCATTTCGTAAGTTGTTTCCACAATAATGAACAAGGTATTCATTCACACTTCAGTTTANACCATCACTTTGGAGTAACCATGCCGTTGAAGGTCTTTTTTGATGATGCCTAGTTCCTTTTCGAAACTTTTCTTTGTATTGCAGAGTACGAAAGCACGGTTTAGTAGAGTCTTGATGATTCCTCTCTTAGTCGATTGATCATGGTTGGATTCCTGGTTCAGATACTGTTCTGGGTGAGTGGGTTTTCGATACACAGATGTTTCCCATTTCGTGTCGGTACTCTTCACTTATTCGTCTAAGAAAGGCAATTTGTTGTGGACTTCCTTCTCCATTGTGAAAGTGATGGAAGGACTTACGTTGTTGATGTACTTCAGGAAAGTGTCTAGTTGTGTTAACCACCTTCAAACATTTCGAAAGTGAAACTATAGTATCTTGGGTAGAATGAATTTGCCTTGAAACCAGATACAGCATACGTCATAGAGTTTTCTTTATTCTGAAAAAGCGCACTTTCTAATAAGAGTTGCGCTTCATACAGGCAGCTATGAATTACGATATAAATTTTTCGGATATTTGGACTCTGGTTAGTTATGGATTCTCATGAAGAATTGGCCAATTCCATCATGCAAATTGCTTTAATTGCGATATCGAATTTGAAAATACATAAAAAAAATAACTAGTTTGGTAAAAATAAGGCCAGTTCAAGTTTTTCATGTTATCATTTTTTATTGAATAATTATTTTTTTTGTCGTGAAGTAATCTCCCAAATAGCGTTGAAAAAATGTGAGCAACATATGCAAGAAGCATATTTGTTGCATTCAGCATGAATCGTGCCACAAAGATACTTTTTTGCACAAGTTACACACATACTTAGGCGACATAATTAAACGACATTGCAATTACGAGTATGACACTCATGTAGAAGTAGGTTTTTTTTCAAATTTCTATGAAAAAATTCCATAATATATTAGAACATTTGCTGGAAATCGAATGAAAAAAAGTCACCAATGATTTATAACTCAGTAGAGAAACAATAACATTTTTTTGTCCCAAGGTTAACAAAAATGGGATTCACCATTTCCCAGACCGAATGGTAATTGTTGAAACAAGACTTAATGAATCAGCAAACAACGATAAACTCGGCTGAGGTCATTTTTCTTTGTCTGAAGTGTGCGATACGGTAGTTGAAAATAACTATGCATTGGCACGAATACCATCTCTATAAATCCAAAAATAGTTTCGTCACTATCTTATCACATGTTCAATAATTTTCATTTTCTCTCAGTATCATACATTTCATCTATCTTCAGATATGCTTATGAAACAAAATGAGATTTTAAACCTACATGTACCTATAGTTTCGCTTTGAATAAATACTGTTAATGAGTAGTAATCTGTTTAAAATCTGTAGTAATATAGTAATACATCAGTTTTTTTTCTTCATAGTGAAGTATATTTCATTAGTTCGGACTTTCATTGTCTAATATGATATAAATTGA